CCGTGCCCCAAAAGCCGCAGCCCTGGGAAGGAGCCGTGGGTGCCGGGACGGAGGCGCGGAGCCCAAACGCAGCGACCCAGCAAACGAACTGGGAGGCAGGAGGAGGGTGGGTGTGGGAGGGAGACACGCGTTGGGTGAGACGAGAGGAAAGGGCTCCGGCCCAGGACAGAGCAGCTTTGGGGAGGGACGTCGTCCCCCTCCCGAGACCAGGGAGCGCCTTTGAATAATTCGCAGAAACTTTTGAAGAAATGGATTAATTGAAGTGGAAGAGACAAAAGTACGGCTATTTAATTGATGAAAGAAGAAAGGGCTGGGACTTTGACAACTCTGTTTAAGCTCCGCAAGCAGAGATCTGGGTTTAGGAACGGGGCAGCGACGGCGTGTAAGTACACGTGTAAATACACGCGTGTGAATAAATAGACGCATGGGTCCCCGCTGCAGGCAGCGACCACACAGACCTGAAGGAGGAGAAGTACGTGTGGTTCTTGCGATAATTATCTCTCTGTCAAATCTAAGATTTTGGGCACCCAAAGCACAGGGGTGCTCACAGCGCTGGGGGAGGCAGAGCCAGCGGCACGCAGAAGCCGGGGGGGGTGGGTGCGTGGGGCTCCCTGCCTGAGGTTAGCCGAGATACGAGCACGCTGTCGGTGGAAAAGCGACGTTCAGGTTCTGCGCTAGATCCAGATAATACGGGGAGCGTAAACACGGGCCCTGACTCGCGTCTGGCTGATGTAGACCAGGTGTGTACAAATGGGAGAAGGAGGAGAAAAATAAAAACACGTGGTGCTTGGATCCAGCCGCAGTCTTTTGTAGACTTGGCGGCAAAATCCCAGACACCTCTCGAATAAGACAGATGAGCCGTTCTCACGTGGAGTAGGTCAGTTCGAAATGGGAGGTCAGGCTTTCTGCAGAGAGCAGCTTCTGGGGATTTTTCTCCCAGGTGCGACCGTTCTGGCAGCGGAACGCGCGGCCCCGACACCCAGACCTGCCGGGGCGTAGTAAGAACCGTGAAGCGGT